TGACGATTTATTTCGCAATTGGATCAAAGATGGTCGACTGGCAGGCATCTTGTTTTTGTTTTTTTTATGCGGTATCTTGGACGTGCTCTGTCAGTTTTCATTCAAATTTGGCACATACATGTACTTTATACATGTTAGGATGCATGTCCATGACAATTTGTTTCAAAATCTGGTCAAGGATGGCCGATTGACAGCCATCTGACTTTTTGGCCTTACTACTATATTTCCACAATTTATGTACCATTTTCATTCGTATTTGGCACATACATCATACATATCAGTGTGTTTCATAATCAGATCAAAGATGGCTGAATAACGGCTGTTTTTATTTTGGCTATATTACTATGACACGAAACTAGTGTTTTGATGTAAATAAACAATTTGTTGTATACGCCACTTGGAACTCAAGTTTCAAGGACACGCTCGTGACAACCCCTCCGCTTTAATATGACGAGCACAAAGAGAACTTAACGGGGACTGTGTCATTTTCAATGACTTGTTATTGTATGCGTTACGACAATAATACCACGAATGTTTCAACCCTGGTAAATTGCGTTACCACCCCCAAAACAATCAGTTATTAATTTGTGATTTGATACTTTAATTTTTGGACAATATTTTTTACTTTTACATAAGTGCCGTTTTACATTAAGTTCATTTCAGTTGTTCATTTTGCATTTGAGATAGCCGTTTGGTGATGCTAACAAAAAATGTTATTCTGTGAGTGGAATTAAATGTAGCTTTCAGATAACCAAACCGTTTATGTTGTCATATGCCCCATTCTAATAATATTAAATAACAGTCACGTTACTCGGTACGTGTGCTCGGCAGAATTTTTGTTTTAAAGATGGTAATACCTACTATTGGCGTCGTTAAGCTGAGAATATCCGATTGTATCGACATTAGTGTATGCACATTTCGGCTTAAACTATCATATAGTTAGTACTATTTTGGGGTTAGATATCCCAAAAAATGGCAAATATTATTTTCATTGCTGTTCTCTTATTTTTCAGTTCATTTTTTCCAGTTAAAAATTCAGTCTTGTTTGTGGCCAGGTGCCAACTTGAAGCCATACGCGATGATGGTGGTAGTGTAGTCTGTGTTTTGTTCGTGCATATATCCTGCATCTAAATACTAAGGTCCTTCTTCTATTATGTCATCCCAATCAATATCACTGTCGCTGAAATCAACGAAATCTTCACATTTTCCCCACATTTCGTTCAAATAAAATACCCGGAAGTCAGAAAGTTGAAACTTTCACAACAGTGAAACATGAAAATAAAGTTGTATATGCCTGCGCAGAAATGAATTGCGAGGTATTCTGGGTGAAAATGATGTCATACTATATGCTAATTTTATGTTAATGTAGACAGTGTGCGGTAAGCTAATTTATGAATGTGAAACATGCATTGTGACAATAGAACTCGAAGCGTTTTGTAACCGGGTGTGGAGGGACTGTGAATGTACTAAACACTCCTACAGATAGTGACATGCAACCAGTGCTATAATGAAAGCATCTGACAATGTGATATTAATGTATCAGATGATTATATATGGTCATGTGACTTCAATAATATGCATAACTGTAATATATGTATGTAACCGGTGTTATAATTTTGTTGTCTGACAAGATATATGACCAAAATATTAGGTCATCATATACGATCATTAGTTCATTAAATATTGTAATTTTAAATGATATTTTGAACCACCCTAATCATTTGGTATATATTAGAAACACATGTGTTCACTGTAAAAATAAGACATATTTCAATGATTTTGCATTCAATAAATACAATTACGGTTTTTATGTGTAATGAAGATGCGCTTCTAATATGATAGTAAATACAGTATTCCTCCAATACTTTCAGCACACGGGAGTTCTTTCTAAGCTTTCTTTGCTTTTTTCAGCCTTATAGTCTTGCATTAGATGTTAATTCATCACCACTACTCAATGTTCTGGAATTTGTGAGAACCTGCTGCCTACCTTATCTTGGTTTCCATGAGAATCAAGTCTCGCCCTTGACAGCATTGCAGTTGCTGAGAGTTACTATGGTGATTAGCAAATCAACTGATCACCTTTGGTTAAAAACGTTGCCTATATTTCCTATCATGCTTTGCCTGTGTAACATCATTGGTGAGTGTGATATGATGTGGGATAATGGCTGCTATGGAGACCAGATGATAGAGATAAAAGATCTGAGTGTTGATCTACTTTATCACTTTATTAAGACCTTACACGAGTCACCAACAAAAGGTATGGAAAAACACTTATTTATTTACCATTGTTATCATTCACATTTTTTTATCTACATATATTTGTTCTTCATTTCATTTATTTTTGACCGACTCATAGCCATATCTTTTTGAATTACTAAGGTTCTAAGATTATTAAGGTTACTAAGATTCTATTGTTTTTTTTCTTCTGATGTTTCTTTGTGGCCTTTGATCTTGAACATCATGGTTCCTAGACTTCTAAAAGCAAGTATAAGACCTGGTGAACCTAACTTTCACAATTCTGAAAAATAACATATATATCAGTGAGTACATGTACATACATAAATATTCACCTTCAAACTTGGAAACAAAAGAAAACTGATCTGCAGTAATTCTAACTTGGTATTTATACATTGTATCACCCAGGAAGGATTCCTGTTATGTTTGTTTGTTTTGTGATGTGATTCAAAATGGCCAACTGGTGGTCATTGAGCTCACTTCATTACAGCTATTAACATTACTCAAGCATCGTTACCTTTCTTTTGCGATTTATTTGAAATGGTTGTTTTCTTCCTATTTCTCAGATGCACTTTAACCAATTTTGGTGTTAAGACATAATAGTTTGCACTTCTACTCATTTTCTACAGGACACAATGGATTTAATATGCTTCCCAATTTGTTTTTTGTTTAAATAGAAATTTTTTTGACATAGTTTCCCCTTTTTGTGTCATCACATACCAATTCAGCCAAATACATTTTATCCCCTACAAATCAAAACTAAATTTGTTTTTTTGTTCACAGATATGAAAAGAATAGTGAGATGGCTACAGAGCAGATTGCAGTCTGTAAGATGGACGGTTTTGTTGTATCTGGATCAATTTCTCTGTCAGCAAATCACTCATCATAAAAAAGTAAGTATTAACTGCTTAGCATTCAGAAATACCATACTGTATTTACTTTAAGCTATGAAAACTAAAGTTTGGATAGTCACCATATATGTGATGGCACATTGTGCACACTATTGTGTGGGACACATCAAATCATAAGTGAGATGCCATCACAGAAAGGCCTTGTCTCTCAAGATGGCGTTTGAAATTTTGCTTCCAGTAAATTGTCACCTTGTGTCACTGAGGCTTGCCTGACAAAAATAGATTTCAATAGATGGCACATTCTGTAGAGGTGGATGCAACCCAGTGGCCATCTTTTTAGTCTCCATTCGAACACAGTTTGCATGCATTCATACCTTTATCTTAGACATGCCTGGACCAATTACATTTAAACTTCACACAAACATCACATATAGTATACATTATTTGATTCAAGATTGCTGAATGGCTGCCATTTCTGTACTAAAAAAGTATCAAAATCAAGCATTTCTCGGCCGTTCACAGATGGATTTTGTTCAAACTTGGTTACATACATTGGACATCAATGCATGTCATTTTGTTTTTCAGATAAGATTCAAAATGGCCGACTGGTGGCTATTTTGTTTTAATGAAAGCGATCCAGAACCATGTCTCTGACATGCTTTGACTGATGTTCAAATTTTATATATTCATTATACATGTACATCATGTCATAGATATACAGATGTATAGGTTTGACGATCCAATTCAAAATGGCTAACAGGTGTTGTTCCAGGGCAATATCTCACAATTTGGACAAGTACTTGTACTGTATTACTATAAACAACTAACAAGGACTGTGCCATGCATGACTTGTTTTCACTTGCAAGTGATTTAATGTACAACATTGGTATATAGCATTTATGCTATGCTTTCAGTGTCAACATTTTGGTGATAGCCATTACAAATTACTCTAAATGATACATGACATGACGAAGTCCGAAAACGGGAACTTATAATTCGGTCTCCGTCTGTGCTTCCGTCCGTCTGTGTGAAGTCATATTTCAGAATCCTTTGGACCGATTCCGTTCATTCGTTGCATGTGCCTAGTACTTTATGTGGGACATATGCACATGCAGTGGTTTAGCAATTCGATTCAAAATGTTTGACTGGCAGCCATCTTGTTTTTTGAAAATGTTGTATTTTGAACATGCTTTGTCAGTTTTCATTCAAACTTGTACATAGATTATACATGTTAGGATACATGTCCATGACAATTTCTTTAGCAATTTGATCAAAGACGGTCGACTGGCAGGCATCTTGTTTTTTTTTTAAATGTGGTATCTTGGACATGCTTTGTCAGTTTTTATTCAAATTTGGCACATACTTTATACATGTTAGGATACATGTCCATGACAATTTGTTTCAAAATCAGATCAAGGCCAATTAGCCATCTGACTTTTTGGCCTTACTACTATATTTCCAAGATTTATGTACCATTTTCATTCGTATTTGGCACGTACATCATACATGTCACTTTGTTTCATAATCAGATCAAATATGGCTGAATAACGGCTGTTTTTTATTTGTGGCCATATTACTATATCTCTGTCACCCATGTATCATTTTCATTGATATTTAGCATGTCATAAATGGATACATATACATGTCAATTCAATTAGCAATTTGATCAAATTTCTAGTATATAAATGTACCAAAATTAACCAAGTATGGGTGAAAAGTACGGGACATACTTTTCAGAAAATAGCGAGTATGGGTGATATTTGTAGCGAGTACGGGTGGTATTTGTAGCAAGTATGAGTTGTATTTGCAGTGAGTACGGGTGGTATTTGTAGCAAGTACATGGAGGTAATTTAGCGAGTACATGCAGGGAGGGTAAAATATAGCAAGTACGGGGTGGGGGTATTGCGGGGTAAAATGTACAGGATTTATACAATTACGGGTGCAGCAAAACACTCCATTGAGAAAGAAAATATCAGTGGTACGAACTGAAACTAGTTCAATCTAACGAACCGAAACTAGTTCCATCTTACGAAAAAACGAAAACAGTCTACACGCGTATTGTGCAAGAATTTTAATTATCCACAGCTCCTGAAAGCTAGGAATAAGCTAGTCTCATGTATGTTCCAAATCATATTCTGCACAATAATTTCCTGGCAAAAAAAATTGCGTGTGCAGGAACACATTCAATTTGGCTTGATTTTGGATGTCTGAAAAACGACGTGTTTAAAAAGGGATCTATGTATCACATAGTGTCGTTACCACGTAAACAATTACGGTTTTCATTGTGATCACACCTCAACTTCGAGGTGTTAATCTTGCCATAGATTCAACTAGCTTACTCAACAAAAATGTACACTACAGTGAAACAATGTTATATTTGGACAACGTGTTATTACGAACACTGTTGCGTCACTCTCGTCAGGCCAAAGGGAATGAGTCTATTTATTATTGTAGTTCCATGATTACACTTGTTAGGTCAGTTACGGGGCACTTTTGTTTACGAGGCGCCCATTTTGCTATGTCATAGGGGTCAAACTGTGTGAATATATAATTAATTAAACATGGCTGCTTATTGTCCACATTTAGTTTTCGTAAGATAGAATTAGTTCAGTTCGTACCATTGATATTTTATTTCTTAATGGCGTGTTTTGCTGCACCCTGTACTCGCTATATTTTACCCTCCCTGCTTGTACTTGCTAAATTACCTCCATGTACTCGCTACAAATACCACCCGTACTCACAGCAAATACCACACATACTCGCTACAAAAATCACTCGTACTCGCTAATAATATCACCAATACTCGCTAGAAATATCACCCGTACTCGCTATTTTCTGAAAAGTACGTCCCGTACTTGCCTCATTTTTGGTACATTTATATACCTCCGAATTTGGCCAACTGGCGGCCATCTTGTTTGTTTAAAATGTGATAACTTTGACATGCTTTCACGTGTGATCTATGTTTTTCTTTGCTATGTTTTAAACCGAAGGGGTCTCCACGCAACACATGTTCGAATTTGATGTAAATAAACAATCTGTTGTATACGCCACTTAGGACTCAAAGTTTCAAGAACATGCTTGCAACAACCTCTCCCATTTAATATGACGAGCACAAAGGGAACTTTCAAAAATTTAATGGGGACTGTGTCATTTTCAATGACTTGTTGAAAATAGGAATCATAGTAAAAACAGTTACAGCTATTGCGGCTATTGTACATTACAATTGTAACTATACATTCTATTGTTATTTTAAGAGTGTACCCAGGGAGCTATTCTCTATATGTGATTTACCATTGGATGATTGGCAACCATTAGACCACCAAGAACAAGGTAAGTCAAACTTGAATATATTTGACCATCAGGAACAAGGTAACCCCATTTGATGTTTCTATATAATTATTATAATTTATGTTGTTTTAATCAAACTTTTTATTTTTTTTTAAGATGAGCAAAAGACATCTGAGAAAGTGGTTACTGTTATGAAAATTGACAGTAGTTCTAACAAGTCATATGAAGTGACTCATAAAATCAATTTTTTGTACACTCCTACTTTTATCTTCTTAGGAAATGAGAACTGCTATGGATTTCTAACTTTCTTACAATGTTGTCAAGTTTCCAGCGAATTAGGAGAACGCCTTACCAGGTAAACTGTATTACAGC